ACAAGACTTCTCTCCGCCCTGTTGTTTCTCACATACTCCTAGATCCTATTCAAGCCAGCCACTTCCACCGAAAGGGCTTGCAGTGGAGCTGCTTGATGAGGTGAGGAGACCTCCACTAGATGAACCTTGCAAAGTTGGCATTGCCAAAAGAAGATTAGAGAAGCACCGCAAGTTGAAAGAGTTGACATCTTGAAACTAAACCAGAAATGAATTGGAATGTCTGAGTTGGCCGCTTCCCCCAAACGGGCTTGCGCCCGTTGAGCCCCCAAAGAGGCCTCCACCAAGCGAAGCTGGAACTGAACTTCGATTCACTTCCAAACAGAAATGGGTGTCAAGCAGCCCTTCGGAAGGATCAACGAGGACCTTTGGTTCTCTTGCATTGCTTCGTGTAGCTTGGGTTTGGGCCGTCTAAAACAGGGCCGAGTCTGATCCAAGAGCCGCAAGTCATGTGCTCGCAGGCTGGATCACAACTCCGGCAGGCTTCAACGCGGTTGGATTCGAAAGAATGCGAGCACCAGGAAACTCAGTTCCTTAGCTAATTTGGAAGTAGCTATATTAGATTACTATTTTACTATATAAACCAAGTTCAACTTTTTCATGAAGTTTGTGGTCACCCTTCTCCTCCTCCAACTCCCCCGGGGGCTCAAAACCAAGCGAAATACGTATAGTTTGTCTTTTGTACAGTTACCCGTTGTTGTTGTCGGTCGTCCCTTGGTGCTTTGTCGGTGGTGGGGCGACCGGGCAACATCAAGTTAGTCCAAAGGAGCCATCGGTGGTTGCCGGGTATCTTTGGCAATGGTCGGTGGTCCATCCTTGTCACGACAATTATATAACTACAGAGAGAGAGAGAGAATTGGTATGAGATGGTGGTAGTGATAGTGCCAGCAGCCATGTTCAATCTTCAGGCCAGTAAACAAGTGCTCCGATATTGCGGCACATTTATAGATTGCCATTCGATTGAATTTGAAGGCACGGGGTCGTCCTGGATTCCAATTCCAGTCTATCTCAGATGAAGCCGGCGATAGGAGGAAAAATCAAGCAAACTGTACAATCATCAGCAGGCTGCAAAAGTAAGACAACATGATATTATAGTCAGAACCATAAGTTGTCCCGCTCAAACTATGCCTTTGCGCAGCTGGATCAAGTGAACTCATCAAATTGTCTTAGCTTTAAGCTTGCTGCTTGCCATACGCCTGCGCTGCGCAACTATACCAGTTGCACTTCCGGCAGGAGCGTCACGCACTGGCCAGGGCATTTCAGCTCCACCGCGCGCACCACAGGCGTGGGGATGGTGCCGGCTGGAAATTGTTCTCCCAACGGCTCACCGTTCTTGTAGAAACGGAGGGAACCATCATTACAGTCGAGCCGCACTCCCACTCGATCCCCTGCGAGAAAATGCTTGCCCTTCATCGCGGCGTCTTCGACCTCCAGATCACCGCCATAGATGTGTCCGTCATGGGTGCGGAGGTACCATGCCTTGCCCTTGGCATGGTGGTCGCCCTTCTCGACATCACATCCCGGCGTGGCAACCCCGATGAAGACGTCGCGGTTGTTGTTTGAGGTGGCCCCAGAAGTCAGTTCCACCTCCCAAGTGTGAACACCAGAGGAAAGCACCTCTTGGGCAGCAACATGTCGTGCATAGTTGCCACCAGCCTTCTTGGTGAGAACTCTTCCATCCTCACTGACCTCCATGGTTCTTCCCATCCGGCCCCAAATGTCTGCCATACCTTGATGATCCTTGACGCGTAGCTTTCCACAAGTCCTCTGGGGCTGAAAGTTCTACAAGCTCTTTGATGAGCTGTGGATCTGTTCCTGCTTGAGCACTGATGTGTCCAGCTACGTTTGTATCCCGCCTTCAACAAAGTGAGATGCAAGATGATGCAAGAGTGATTCAAAAATGGAACTGCACCAATGAACACTTTAGACTACGCAATGGGAGGCAAAGCAATAGAAAATTAATTCTTGACATCGATACATGAAAAGCATGATGATGCAAATTGGCCCCAAATGGGTTTGCACCAGTTGAGCCCGCAAAGAGACCTCCACCGGATGAAGCACCTTGCCACAGAAGCATGCCGGCAACTGGCAAGAGTTGGCATCTTAACATGAAAGCTGGATGCAGGATGGAATGTCTGAGCTGGCC